TGCTCTTCCGATCTAAGAAAAAAAATAATCACATGATATTATGTTTATTATTTTTTTAACATTATCATATAATTTAACTTTTATGTTAACCATTTTATATATAATTTTATTAAATAAATAGTATTTTATTAAAAAGTTGTATATAAATATCTCAATTAAAAGTTACATGTCTTGATTAAAAGAAAACAATTATGTTTCTAATAACTAATTTAATATTATAATTTATTATAATTATTAATATAATTATAATTTTATTATAATTTGTCTAATTTAAATTTTATTTAATATTGTTAAATTTAACATCTTATTTTTATTAAATACACACGTTTAATATTTTAGATATACCAATCACTTTTATAGATAGGACCTGTCAAAAAATTTTCTATTTTCAATACATAAATATCTAAACACGATGATACTTTTGATAAAAATAAGCTACAAAATCCAAACACAAATAATAATAACATATATATCTATTGCAACCGTATAAGTGTGTTTCACACACAATGATTAAGATAGGCCAATGCACGGTTATACCAGGATCTTGGTGCTATACAATTTTATTATGTGATTTTACATACGTATCCTTATAGCTTCAACTAAATTGCGTGCCGTTACTTTCCGGATTCAACACAACTCCCCATGATTGAAACAGGACCGTATTATCACGTATTAAATTACTAATCAATTTAATAAGAGCTTGCTAACTTGCATCTAATATATCCCCCCTCCCCCGCAACGTCAAATAAATGCTTGCCTGCATCTATATTAACCATTATCGACGAATTTGTAAAGAAATTTATTGCGAAAAAATATCACTTCATGTTCTGAGCCACGAATAATAACAATAATAATAATAATAATAATAATAATAAACGAACAATAAATCTTAATATACAGTGCCAGACATGAAGCAATTAATTATTTATTCAATAAAATAAATCCCAAGTCATCATATTCAATTCGTGTCTATTGTTTCCATCGTAGTATAAAAAAAACACATTACAATTAAAATTGCACACCGACTGTCGACTAATCGTCGGTAAATTAACGTATTTCCGGATAGTATTTTTAAATTCCCGTATTGTATGAGTCATTAAAAGTGGTAAAAGTGGGGTATGAAAATTATTGTGCCGTAACATATAAAAAGGGACGTTATCGAAAAGACTATATTACTGCAATCGCTTTTGCCGTCGTAAGACCATAGGTGAAGAGGTAACATACTGTAATTTGATTCAACATCTATCATGTTCTGTCGATTGTTAGCCACTTTTTCGTCGACGGTTCTTGTTCTCACAATAATTGAATCGGTGAGAGCGGGCCCTTACTCAAGGGATGTTGAAGGATACAAGACGGAACCAGATCACGAAACAGGAGCCAAGGTAGCGCGATGGATAAAGGAAATGAACATAAATCCTGAGGAAATGGGCAACTACTACGAGGGAGACATCATGATTTCAAACAGCACCACAAGAAACGGTGATAGAAGAGCACAGCGTTGGATTAATGGAGTTATTCCCTACAAAATGACTGGTAGCTTCAGTAAGTACCTTTGAGAATACAAATTTAGACATTTTGTAGTGCAACGTATCTTTCGAAATTAATGAATTTAAATGCAATAGCTAAGTATTATTTCATTGTAATGAAATAGTCTGTAAAAGTAACAAATGTTCCGTAGTTAAATAAAAAATTCTAATGACATTAAATCACATTAGACACACAATTGGTATAATATCGAGTCTATCAGAATATAAATCAAATTTTATACAACATAATCGAACTTCTAATTTTATGCGTAATTGTATCTAAATATTAAGAAAGAAGAATTTTTTATCAATTTTTTAAAAATATTAATTTTAAATATATTAATAGAATGATAAAATATTATATTGCATGATATAGGTGTATAATAATAAATATTATTAGGCACCAAGATGCAGCCCGACCCACAAAAGGCGCTTTAATTTGTGATTTTAATGATTTTTGGTTATAACTTTTGTACTGCAGCTCAAGATCAAATTAATAATATATATCGGGCGATGAACGATTTTCATAGTAAGGCAGGCATACGATTTGTACAACGGACGAACCAATATGATCATATCGACATTCGAAACGACAATTCTGGATGCTGGAGTTACGTTGGCAGACAAGGCGGTAGACAACAGGTGAACTTGCAGACTCCTGGTTGTACATATTACGTAGGAGTCCCCGTACATGAGCTGAACCACGCCGTCGGCTTTTGGCACGAACAATCTAGAGACGACCGAGATTGGTACGTGGACATCGTTTGGAATAATATTCCAAAAGGTATGTAGTTATAACTATAAAGTTCAAATAAGAATTAATTTGTTTAATTAAAATGTTAACGTTTAACGGAATTAAGCGTATTTTGTTTTTTTATTTTTATTAATGTCTGAGATACCAACTAATTTTGTAATTAATATATTAAAATAGCGTATGCCTCTTTTATACGACAATTTTCTCTATCTGTCTTCTCCTTCTATTTGCATTTTAACTTTAAAGAATTTTAAACTATTCTCTTTTAATCTTAAGAATTATTAATATCGTAACAACGTCAACGACTTATTATGTCTAAATATCACTTTTTTAACTAATAAAAAGTTGCATAATTTATTCAGATTAGTTCGTATAGATCTGCATTATAAATTTATATTTTTATATTATCCTGTATATTCTATGTACGTATATTTAGACAAACAGCATAATTTCAATAAGTATACCTCGGATCAAATCAACTCTTTTAACGTTGTTTACGATTACGCCAGCGTGATGCATTATTCAGCGAACGCGTTTGCCATAAACCCCAACCAAAAAACCATTATTACAAAGGTAAGTAATCAATATTTTTATAAATGTTCTATAAATGTCACGTCGTGAGACGGTTGATTTCTTTGTTAGAATAGTTTAATTTCTAAACGGATAGATATGAGCTACCAATTCACTGTTCTAAAAAAAGCCATTGTTTGCATTACATCTATGTATGTATGTTTCAAGTATATATAAGA